CAAACAACTAGCAACAACAAATGTTAGGGAGGATGTGGAGAAAAATGAACCCTCTCCTGCACTGCTGGTGGGAATGCAACCTTGTACAACCACTATGGAAAACTGTTTGGAGGTTCTGCTTAACATGGAGCTTCCCTATGACCCAGCAATCCTACTCCTAGGTATCTACCCAAAAGATATAAAAACACTGATTGAAAAAGATACCTGCACCCCCATGTTTATTGCTGCTTTATTTACAATTGGAAAAACATGGAAGCAGCCCAAATGCCCAAAAGTAGATGACTGGATTAAAAAGATGTGGTACGTATACACAATGGAATATTACTCAGCAACCAAAAAAAAAAAGAAACATGTCTTTTGCAGCAACTTGGATGGAGCTGGAAAAGATCATGCTTAGTGAGATAAGCCAGAAAGAAAAAGAAAAATACCGGATGATTTCACTCATAGCAGGAGTATAATGGACCAGGTGAGAAAATAATAATAATGAACAGCCATATACCAGAGACATTTTGTGGGGGTGGAGTGGGGAATGGGATAAAAAAAGGGGGGGGAGGGAAGTGCACAGGACTATGGTGATGGCACAAGGGGTGACTTGGTGATGGGAAACCCATGGAGATTACAACTGAGATGAAAAAAAATGTACAAAATGATGTAAAAATAAACTATTATATTGTAAAAAAAAAAAAAGTGTAATGGCTCCTTGCTAATCACTTTATAATTGTCTAACATGCCTAGAATCCATAGAAGCAAAGACACTAAATTTTGATAAAAGAAAAATGCATAACACATGATCTGCAAAATGCTTAAGTGTTCTGAGTGGCAAAATACAGCTAATCAAACCTTATTGTAAGTGAACTAAGGCAAAGAAAACAAAGTTACTGGAAAGGATTCAAACCACCAAATCTGTAGAAACCAATAAATCGTGTCTTTGGTTCTTCACCTGCCATGTCCATAGAAAGAGCATGTAGAAGAGCAAAGAACACTGTTATCAGATTTTGAAATAAGGGAACCCTTTGCTTCATTTCTTTAGCTCTCCAGTAGTGTTTTACGTTTAACAGTAACCATTTCAATTCAATTCCCCAGCCCTCAATGAACTGACCTTTTATCTAACACTAACGTTTTTCAGGTCTAGCAAAAAAAAGAAAATCAAATTACTAAGGAATACACCATTCATAAACTAGAAACCTAAGCCCTTTCTCCATGTATCTGTTCCTTTCCGGGACATAAAAAATGGGATGAGAAGGCTAGCTAGTGAGTAGGAATTTGACTATACATTATAATTTGGCCATATGAATGAAAACAAAGATGTTCTGGTCTGAAAATACCACTTAGGTGATTAACAACATAGTTCTGATATTTCCAGAAGATTTTCCATGAGTTCATTTTGGAAAGGCAATCTATCCCAGGAAGATAGACCAAAGAAAAGTTCTTAAGACTCTTTATTGAGGTTTGTTCATTATTTCCTTTGTATAATTTGGTGGGGCTACTACTTTTATCAGTGTAAAGAATAGAAACATGCACAGTTAAGAAATCAATAGCACTGACTATTTTCCATGAAAAGCTAGTATAAAGCATTTTCAAATAAACTGTTATTCAGTCACAGGTGAGCCATTACTTTTATGTTTACAAAGAACATTATCATTGCTAAAGATGTTTCCTATATAAGCTATTTATAAGGCAAAAGTTATCTATTTGATAGAATACAGCAAAAGACATGATTTAAGGTCTCAACTACTAGATAAAAACTAAACCTCTTTCTCTGAAACTCTGAATTCAACTTTTTTTTCTTTCTAAATTTAGTATCATGTTGGGGAGGGGTTGGGAGGGTAGGGGAGACACATTTTGGAAATGACAAAAAGAAATTTAATTTAGCTGAACCAAAGAAAGTCTTCCACCACAAGTACTCTGGCAAATAGCTACTTATACAGAAAGAGAAACGGTTTATGTCACACAAACAATTTAGTATGAGGCTTCACTTGTCTTACCAGTTAATTTACTTCTGGGGAAGGAGGGAAAGAACTTTTCATTGTGAAATTGTGATTTCTGACAAATATCATGGAGTCCATAAAAGGAGAAAGTTATGTTAGCTATTTTGAAGGACTTAAAGCCTCTACACCAAGGCTGCACAGCTTATTAAAAGAAGCTGTGTTTGAAGTGTAATGATAATGTAAGTTAGTGACTTACATTCTAGTGACTTAAAATGGAATTAAATTTTCAAGACAACCTTTTATAAGTTCACAGGAAATAAAAAAGACCCCTTGAAGTTGAAAATGATACTCTCTCTTCCTTCACATTTAAAATTGATTAAAGAAAAATTCTGTTCAATCCCTTGGACTAGAAAAAATATATATTTTTACTTCTTAAAACTTTTATATAAAGTCAAATTACAGATTTCCTATCAAGCCCTCAGTAACCTTCAAAATATACATGCACTCTCAATTATTCTTGAAGTTTTCTCTGCACTTGTAACAAACTTCTAGCAATTAACTTACACTCTAGCCAAAGTGGTGGTTCATATACACAACAAATATTTACTGACCATTTACTAAGTGGAAGGTGAATGCCATAGAGATATTCTTTTATACCACCAAAAAAAAAAATTCCAAAACTGTTAAAACTGTGCATAAGTATAGCTTAAGGCATAAACAGTAAAGACTAAAGAAGGAAAGGGACATAAATATCAGCATAAACAAAGTGTGAGCAGAAAAGCCTTGAGGCTTTTTTTCTGGTCAGACAGGGGAAGTAGGAATCAGGTAAGAGACACATTCCACACAGAAAAAAACTCTGGTTGCAAAAACCTGAAAGGGGGCTGAGTTTTCTTAGAGAATTATTCCTCTAACAGAAATTGATGTGCATGTGTGTGAGGAGTTAATTAGTTCATACCTTTAAACATGACAAACTAGAAAAGGTTATTCCTGCTAAGCACAGGGAAAAACAGGGTTTGGTTGTAGGAAGCTCAACAAATATTTGGGAAGAAGAGGAAAAACTAAAGGACAGAACAAGTTCATAAAAAGCTACAACTTTTTAAGTAATGGCAAATCACAAATGCAGTCATGAACATTTGAAATCCAACCTCATTTTTTCTTTACTATTTCCCCTGATGAACTGGTTTCAAGGTGAACAAGGCACATAAACCTGAGGTAATGATGTGTCTGGAATCACCTTTAGAATAATCTGAAGTGCAGTAGAGATGAATTAACATGGTTAAAAGTTTACCACTGTTGAGACTGAGTACAAAGATCTTCTACACTGTCCAGCTTTTTTTGTATGTTCGCTATTTCTCCATAATTAGAAGTTAACACAATTTGTATACCTAAGCATTTTCCACCTTACCTTTCGATGTTAGTCTTAATTCACCAGCATCTTAATTTGAATAGTTTTTACTAAAGATAAGGTTATACTAGCCTCCCTCCCGCCCCCTCACCCCCACTTCCTTTACTAATTTCTCTACTACAGTTCTTGCTCCATTTCCATTGTTATTGCCTAATCCAAGTCACTGTTCCAAACGTGTGTAGCAACCACTGTCAACCTCCAATATGGTTCTCAATGAGGCACGGCTGGCATCTCACCCAACCATTACAAGAAACCACCATCCAGCAGCCATTAGATAACTAAGACCACACCACTTCCCATTGCTACCTGCTACAGAGGGATGAATCCCTTTAACTACTGAATGCGAACACATTTCCTCCCAATTTACTTAATTAACAAGGTGGCTTCCCCTTTAGTCAATATCCTAGCATTCAAACCAGCCCTACCTTTTCCTGATCATACCCCAGCTTCTCCAGGTATATTCAGCCTCCAGGTCACTCAGGCCAGTCTCAGCCATTACTGCTGCTTCCTGTTTTCCATTCTTGGAAAATCTCCTTCACTAGCCTATTATCCTGGGCCTTTCTGGTCTCCTCATAACTTGTCTACTCTTAAGTAGCCCCCATATTTCAAGGTTGGGTTCGTTTTTGAATAGCGTTCCCTTCTACCTAAAATGCCTTTCCATCACTTTCCCAAAATTCTGCTCACCTATGGGGAGCATTAACTCCATTGTCAGCCTCTCCTCAAATCCTGCTCTAAGGTCCCCACACGCCAAATCAATATGAATTACTTTCCCTTGGCTTTCATGATACCCTAGACCTTGATCATTCTTTAGAATTCAAGAGTCTTCCTCCAAGAAGACTGAGTTCTGAAAGCAGTTCTGCCAACTTTTGCAGCGACAGTGCCTTAGAACCCAGATGTGCAGTGCATGAACTGCTTCCTCAGTACAGCACTAATGGGCAGTTTCTTTTAGTTCTGCTGTTCGCAAATGCACAACTTCTCCCCAGGTATTCTGAGCACTACTTTAATATTAACTATCTTAACTTCGAGGCCTCTGCAAAATCCGCAGTGCCAGATCCATGAACCCCAGGGTCAGGCACTGGGAGGTAGACAGCCATAGGCTCAATGTCTACTTCGAAGGACTTGGCTCCCTAGCCCGAACTCGGGTCTAAGAGGCCGCATTTCCAGCTGTCTGGACCGGCACCCTAAACCACGTCGCACACTTTCATGAGAAAAGCTACTTCTCAATTATTTTGACCATTTGGTAACGGCTTTCTGTTTCAATAAACAGTAAGCCTGAGAGCGGCTCTGTGAGCCAACTTGCTCTCGGGACCACAGCTCTAGGCGGACCGTGCTTGCGGGCTCCGACGCTGAGTCTGCACCTCCCGGAGGTCCCGCCTCGCCGGGAACCCCCCACCGGCCTTTAGACCGCGAGCGGCGTCGGATCTCCAGGCTGGCTTTCCGGAAGCATCTACCGAGAGACGAAGTGGCCGAAGCCACCCTCGAGCGCCGCCCCGGTGCGCACCGCCCGGTCTCCGCAGCCGAGGGGCAACGGCCATGGGCCGCGCGGGGCCCGGCGCCCCCGCCCCAACAGCCGGACTCGCACCGGCGCCACCCGCGCCGCGCCAGGAAGGGGAGCCGGGCTCGGGGCCGCTCCCTTTGTCCGGCCGAGGCCGCGGCTGGCGCCTCACCGTGATGTTGCAGTGCAGGGTGAGCGGCGGCGCCGGCGGCGGCCCTAGGAACTGGCAATGCAGCTCGTCTAGCTTCCAGCTGATCAGGCGAAAGCGCTCGTGGTTCTTGTCGAAGATGGACGCCAGGAACTTCAGCTCGGCCTTGAGCCCTGACACGGACATCTTCCGCTCATCTCCGGTGGGCGGGGTGCGCTCGGCCAGCAGGGCCCGGAGCCGCCGTCTCGGCAGCCACCGCCCCGCGGGGCCGGCCTGGGCCACGCTCTGGCGGCTCCGCCTCTCCCGCCGCCGCTTCCCGCGTCGGACCAGGCTGGGAGATGGCGACGGGGTACCGAGGCGCAGCTGGGTGGCAGCAGGCCGTACGCCCGCTACGCAACCGACTCCACCGGCCGGAGGTGGCGGCCCCGCCGCTCCAAAGCGCCTCCGCGACACC